GTGTCTGGCAACGGATCGCAACCCTCAGTGTCGCGCCCATACCGGACCGGGACCGGCAACGGGATCGCAACCCTCAGTGTTGCACCCGCACCTCGCTCAGCCAGTGAGCGGGAACCGGTCTGTATGTGGGATCCGAACCCTCGGCGGGAGCGCTGCCGCGCTCCCAAGCGGCGCACTGTAGCAGTGCACCACTGGGCCAGCCCTTTACCGGTCATCTTTAAAAAAAAAAAAAAAAATTAGCCTGGCTGCTCTGTGAAAAATGAATTGGAGTTAGACAAAAGGAGAAAGTTCAGAGGTTAGTGTAGCAATTCAGGAGGGAAAGAAAAGTGACTTGGACTAGGGTATTGCCATGGAAGTGGAGAGAAGTGGGTGAGGTTTTCAAAAAATAGGAAATAAGGTCAATGGGACTTGGTAATGGATTGTATTTTGGGGGTTAGAAGAAGGGAAATTACAAGGAGGATGACTCACTTTTTAGACTACTAGATCGATAGTAATCCAATCCCTGAGAGAAAGATCACTGGCAGAGGGTCTCCCTTCAACCCCCCAGATCGGTGTTTCTTTAAAGACAGAAGAGGTGGTCATTTGCACATTAAAGATGGTGGAGAAAAATGAGGAACAGGGTCTTTTAGCTTGAAGAAGGGCTGCGGCCCTTTTCCTTTGAACTAGAGAGGATGGAGTCAAGTAAGTTGCACTCTATGTCCTCTAACCTTTGAGGGGTAACAAGAAAAGTGAATTATCTCATCTTTAGCAATTGAGGTATGTAATTGTGGGATGGTAAAGGCTCCTGAACTATCCACATAGCTCTACTACCTATTCCTGGCAATCTGAAGGATTTAGACCCACACTGTCCACTGCAGAAGCCACTGGCCACAGTAGCTATTGAGCATTTGAAATGTGGCTGGTCCAAATGGAGATGTATTATAAGTATAAAATACACACCATATTCTTAAACTTAGTATGTAAAATCGTGTAAAATATCTCAATATTTTTTAAAATACAGATTACATGTAGGAATGATTTTATTTGGGATATACTGGGTTAAATATGTAATCAAAATTGATTTCATCTATTTCTTTTGATGCTTTTTTATTTTATTTTATTTTATTTTTTGGTGGCTGGCCAGTACAGGGATGGAACCCTGGACTTTGGTGTTATGAGCACCACAGTCTAACCAACTGAGCTAACCCACCAGCCCTCTTTTAACTTTTTAATGTGGCCACTAGAAAATTTTAAATTGCATGTATGGCTCGAATTTTATTTCTGTTGGATAGCACTGTATTAGAAGTTCGGAATATTGTTCCAAGATATATCATTCTGATTGAAACCGTATCTAATCCAGGAGGCTGTCTCACACCTGATGGAGTTTGGATGTGTTGTCCCCTCCAAAATTCATGTGGAAATTTTTTTTTTTTTTTTTAGCATAGTTTAGGATAGCATTTTATTTTTTTTAATTTTTTTATTTTTTCCTAATTTTATTTTGTCAATATACAATGAGGTTGATTATTGTGGCCCATTACCGAAACCCCCCTCCCTCACGTGTAAATTTGATCTCCAATGTGGCAGTGTTGGAAACTGATCAAGTCATGAGGGTGGATCCCTCATGAATGGATTAATGCTCTCCCTGGGGGAGAGGGGGTAATGCGTGAGTTCTCGCTCTATTAGTTCCCGCAAGAGCTTGTTGTTTACAGGACCCTGGCACCTCCACTGTCTCTCTCTTGCTTTCTCTCGCCATGTGATCTGTTTGTACCCACTGGCTGCCTGCCACTTTCCGCCACTAGTAGAAGCAGCCTGAGGCCCATGCCCGATGCAGCTGTCCCAGAATCGTAAGCCAAATAAACCTCTCTTCTTTATAAATTACCCAGTTTCAGGTAGTTCTGTTATAGCAACACAAAACGGACTAAAACACCTTCCTAAGCACAAGGCCCCAAGCTCCAGCACTCCAAGCGCAGGTTCTGGAGCTTTGGCTCTGCCCCCATACCCCAGGACTACAAGGGCCAGCATGCATTGCGCGCATCTGGAGGCGGGACCTGGAAGGAGTAGTCACTTTGTGATGTCACGTCCGCCAGGCAGCACGGGTTCGATTGGTGCACTCCGAGTCGTGGAGGTGGGAGGGGAACGTCCGCTAGGTGTTGTGGTCCCGGGGCCGGGAGCACCTGGGTTAGGTACCTTTGGTCTGACTTTACCTACCCCCTTTTGAAATGGGCAGAGGTGGGGAGGACCGTCCTTTACCGGGCTCATGTCACGTGGGAAAGTACCGGCCCACGCCTGGAAATGTCAGCAGCCTCGCGTGAAGCACTCTTGCTGCGGGCAAGCCTGGCGTGTGGCCTCGCAGCCGCATGCCGCTCGACCCAGTGAGTCAGGCGCTCACCTTGTCCCTACTTGCTGGTCAGTGCCTTGCGTAGCGTCTCCTGCCGGTAACTGGCGGAGTCGGGGCTGCAGCCCGGGCCTCTAGAGCGGCACTAGAGAAGGGGCTCTTCTTCGGGGGTGTCTGGGAGGGGGCCTAAGGAAGGTAGGCTTCTTCTCCGAGTACCGACCGCTAAAGCCTCTTCTCCCCTGGCAGGCAACTCGCTCTGACTTTTCTTTGAAAAGGATGTGGATTCTTCAGCTTGTTGCAGCTGTGACAAAATGCGGTCTTGTGGGCAGAGCAGTTCCTGTTTAATTGAGCTATTGTTTCATATGAAGAAGTTATTTAAGATCTAGAGGGGGTGTAGGCTTGAATTATAATGGAACTAATATATCAAAATGTTTACTCATTTCAGCGACTGCGCATGCCCATTCGGACTCAACTACCTGAATAAGGAGGTGATGTTCTGTACCTCTGGTTTAATTTCAGGCTGATAGCGGGGTATCTGCCTTCATGAAATATACTGCCTTGTGCCTCCCTAGACATAAGAGGAGAGTCCCTTCCAAAGGAAGATTCTAGGATAGTCCATGCTTTTCTTTATTCCAAGAGATGTAAGACTTCTGCTTGCTCTCACAATTTGTCGGCTCCTGCCAGAGTTTTGTTTTAAATCACTATGGTCTAATTTACTATTACCATTTGTGATAACAGGCTTGCACACTGTAGTGCGGTGGGGGGGGGGGGGGGG